TATTAAATGCTATCAGCAAACTGGTTTAGAAGTATTACATTTTTCAACATATGACATAGTCATGTGCATTGCTGTTGGCTTGAGATAAAGGTTGCAGTGTAACAAACGTGCAGTGCAATTCTGTGTGTATTTACTCAAATGTCAGTTGCACTGTGTTCAGTGACTCTTACTCCCAGGTAAGTGTGTGTATAATTCAATCTTTAGAGTAGTTTGAGCATATTATAGTTGTTGTGATACTTGTTAGCACAAAACTGGTTCCTGACAGTCTGTTCAGGCAAGTAAAACATCATCTAAAAATAACAGGGTATTTGGCTTGGTTTCTAGAGCTCAGTTGGGAATTTGGGCTGTGGTTACCAGAATCTACACTGTAAATGCTTCTAAACAAACTCTGAAAAGTAACTCTGTTTGGTGTGTGTTTTCTTTTTATTTACCTTTGTACATGAAGTACGGGAAATAGCTCAAGACCATCTTACTGCTGAGGAACTGTCTAGAAGGCTGTTCAGAAAATACTTCACCTTCTATGTTCAGTGAAATCAGGAGCAGGTCTTGCGTCTCCCAATTCATATGTAACCTTCATTGTATGATGGGCTGAGGTGTTGGGAAGTATCGTTTCAATATTGATCCCCACTCCTAGTCTTCCTGTGCATGGGGCTTGAGGTAGAGGGTAGGGAATTATAGTAGACTCAAAGATAGTGCATTGTTTTAAATGTTTTAAATTGTGGTATTGTAAATATACTGATTTTGTGTCAGCCACCCTGAGCCGGCCTTGGCTGGGAGGGCGGGGTATAAATTTGAGAAATAAATAAATAAATGTGCAAGGCCATCCAGTGACTTTAAGAGACTGAGAGAAACTTGCATGCGGGATTTCAAGGTATTACCAACTCTTATAACCACACTTTTTAGAACATAAGAATAGCCCTACTGGAACAGAGCAGTAGCCCATCTAATCTGGCATCCTGTCTCTCACAGTGGCCAACAAGTTACTCTGGAAGGCCTACAATAGGACTTAAAGGCTAAGGCCTTTCCCTGATGCTGCTTCTTGGCACTGGTACTCAGAGGCTTACTGCCTGTGAAGGTCCCATTAGTCACCATGGTTAGTAACCACTGATATTCTTCATGAATTTGTTTAATCCCCATTTAAAGACATCTTTGTCTCTGGCCATTGCTGCATCGTCTTGAATTCCATATTTTAGTAACTCATTGAGTATTTCCTTCTTAGATAATGTATCCACTGTTTCCCCCCCTAGTGAAGACCCAAAGCAGCTTACAACATTTTACCCTCCAACAAGCACTGTGTAAAGTAGCTTAGGCAAAGAGAGGGATTGGCCCCAGTCACTCAGCAAATTTCCATGGCAGAATGGGGATTCAAACCTCTCTTCCAGATCCTAGTCCACCAGGTGTTCAGACTTACTCTTTATACACTGTAACATTGGATTAAGGAGACTGAAAAATAGGATGTCCAGTTTCTGAGATATGGGTTTTCTAAGTATAAATGCCTTAATTTTCTACATGCAAAATTGCAAATGCACCCAATGCTAATGTGAGAGAGAGAGATGCAAGCTAAGATAACCTTATGTTATCTTAGCACATTTCACTCACTGCAAAGGAAAAATCGTAGGACCTTTTCCAGTGCTCCCTCAAATTTTAAAATGTTTCTGTTTGAAAAATTGACTGCTGTATGTTTTGGGTGACTAAAACTAGGGTTGGCAAACCAGGGGTCCCCACTTTTGGGGGGTTCTACCCACTGGCTGGCGGGGGAAGCCCAAGCCCCAACAACCGCAGCCACCCCTCTCCCTTCTCTCTTGAGAGAGAGGATGGAGAGGGGTGGCTGCAGACCACGCACCCAATCTCTACTTGGAAATCGGCCAGGCAGGGGCCTCTGGCTCCCTGCACTTAAAGGGGCTCCCTTTAAGTGCAGGGAGCCAGTGGGAAAGCCCCCCCCAGTCTCCGAATAGAGCTGAGGCACGTGTGGAAATGCCAGCTCCCTGCACTTAAAGGGGCTCCCTTTATGTGCAGGGAGCTGGCGTTTCCCCATGTGCCTGATCTCCACTCGGAGATCGGGCGTGCAAGGCCTTCCGGCTCCCTGCAATTTAAAGGTGCTCCCTTTAAGTGCAGGAATCTGGCAGGAAAGGGCCCTGTGCACCTGATTTCCAAGTGGCATTGCCACTCAGCGGGTGGGCGGACGTCCCCAACGTGACGTCATCATGTCAGGGATGCCCCGCCCCCTCCAGGAACGCCACCCAAAGTCCCCTGCTGGGGGCGAAGATGGACCTGGCAACCATAACTAAATCCTTGTCTTAAATATTTCATCCCAAAAGGGGCAAAAAAAACTGCTCCTAAAAAAATCTAGGTTTCCTATAAGAAAAATTGACACTTTGGGGCTGTATTTATTGATTGAGGGGAAACTTGTCTTTAAAGCATTACAGTCATTCCAAAACACACACACACACACACACACACACACACAAAACATAGGCAGTTTTTTAGTGCTCCCCCCAAATTCCCAATTTTTCCATGTTTTCACAGCCCACATCTCTGGTGGAGAATCAGTGTCTCAGATTACAGTTTGTGGTATCACCAGTTTTCTCACCTGGCTAAATGTTTTGCGTGGAACTGTATACTCATCTGGGTAGATAAGATTCCAGTGCCTGAAGGAGACTGCCTGCTTCCTCATGATATTCTCTTCCTTTTATTGTTTCTTATTTATATTGTACCATCAATGTAGGTGGCACTTCACAAGCTAACACAGGCAGAAAAGACAGATCTTTGGCCCCTAGAAACATGCAGTCTAGATCCTGTCAGTGAAGGAGGTGGGAAGGGGCAGGAAGAGACAAGAGTGACAGGGTTAATATACACAAATGCAGTTACACATTCCAGAGTTTTGTTTCAACTGGGGATGGGATGTATGCTAGTTTATTCTGATTCACTCACTATATTGGTTCATAACTTAAGTTTAAATGCTCCGTAAAGTTCATAACTTAAGTTTACCATTGTTTGTTGTATTCATCGGTATAAGTTGGAGTTGGCGTGTCAACTGAATATTGTCAGTTGACCATTCAAATACCCCAATATTTAGATGGCAGCTTACCTTTTTTTACTATAATACAATTTAGTTTGTTAGCAAACATAGTAGTTAAGAGTTAGAGTTGTGTGCCCCATAGTAATCGCATAACAAAGTTTTTTCCTGCAGTAATTGCACACTTCTCCAGACAGGGACGTAAACAGTCATCTGTGGGCAAAGACCTCTCCCTGGAACTGCCCATCTCCATCTTGCTTGCTGCAAGAGCTTGGGAGCAGTTCCCTTCCTGTGTTACATTGTTTTTTCTGTCTATCCCTTTTGATTTAAACTGCCTTTGGTGTTCCAGGACAGAAGCTGAAGAAAGGAACAGTTCAACAACACAGAAACCTGACTTAATAGTTCAAAACATAATAATTACCATTTTCACAATAAGTTAACTAATTTATTTCTATAATAACTATCAAAATTTCAATGATTAAAGTATCATTTTTCAATAATAAAATTAATGCTTTCAAAATCTACTCATAGCTTCTTAGCTTTACTAAGTATAATTTTCCCTGACGTGTTGCAGTGTTTTCCAGCTATTAGCCTATGGCCTGGTAGTGATCAGTAGAGTGCTTCATTGCTTATTTGGGCTGTTAAAAACAGCAGATGTTCTTCTCTTCATGCCTCCTTCTATCTGCTGTGAGATTCTGGCTGTCTGGTAGAAGAGGATAGATGTATTCCTGGTCACCTATGATCAGCTGCTTGCTTTTGGTTTGGAGAATGTTCATATGCACAGCTATTGCATGCTATATTCTACTGAATACATACAGAAAAGTGGCATTGGAATTGCTTTCCAGCACTGCATCTAACTAGATGTTAAGTCCTAAAGTAAAATAATGTTTTGTATTGTATGTTCTTCTTTTTTAAAAAAACAAAAAACAATTTTTATTGGTTTTTTACAAAGAAACAGAGAACAGAAAACAGACTATTCGTCAATATGAAATCAGAACAGTTACAGATACAGTGAATTAGATACGGTGCGGACAGGTTCAGAACAGTCTTCTATTTATTTTATTTTTTGCCTTATTGAGATACAATAAGGTTGAGTGAGAGCGTTTTTGGTTTGGAATTGCGGTGTGGCCAATTTGGAGCTAGTACTGATCGCTAATGGGGGTTTTAAACATGCTATATATGTTCTTCTGTGATAGAGTATTTTCTGTCCTAAACACTGAAAGTTTAGGTGGGCAGTGTATTAGAGCTTTTTGATCCAAGAAAAAATTAGGATGCATAGATTTACAGGAGCACTTTTGCAGTATCTGTGAGTTTGTAACATTTTAAAACTTTTTCATGTTTCGTTTTTCTTCTTTTATGGGAAAAAAGAGTTGAAACCTTTGGAGAAATGTTTGAGAGGCAGATGATTGAGGTCACAGAAATACCTGACAGTTGAGCTAATTAACTCTCCCTAATCACAAATCTGTGCTTTTAAATTTTTTTTTTTTGCAAAACATGCATATGTTTTCAATAATTTGTCTGAAGCTGTATGGATTAGAAACGCTTGGGTTTCTCTAGATTTTGAACAAGCAGATGACTTCCACTTTAGTCTCCATATTCTAGGCTTTGCTGAGATTCTGGCTGCCTAGGCTTCCAGAGCCCTTGATAAACATACGTGTATATTACAAAATAATGATTTCACTCATATTTCAGTGTCCGAAAAATAATTTAAAGCTCAGATCAAACAGGATTCAAAACTCTTTCATTGCTTTCCAGTGTTTTTTAACTTGCAATGATGAATGGACTGAAGGAGCTTGTATAGCTTAATTTAACTGCTTAAATGCTGTTTTGGAATGAAGGCTGTTAATTGGTAGATGATGTAACTTTAATTTTATTTTAAAATGTATATATAATTTGGATCGATTAATTTGGTTTTCAAAGTATCTTGATCAGAGAACTACAGTTTGATTATAACATAACTTCTCTTCCCCCCCCCCCCCCCCAGCTTTTAATGTGAAAGAACATCTGAACAACTTTTGAACCTAATTGGAAGGAAGAGTGCTATTAGCTGGTAAGTTGATAGATGCAAAGCAAAAAAAAAAAGAGGCTAGTCTCTTTAAATTTGTGTGGAACCTATCAATCTGTTTAAAAAGCAGGTAGATTTTCACTGTCTTCTCATTCAGTGATGTGGGTTTTCTGGAAAGCTTTCTGATGATCTGAATTGATTTGATTTAGCATATTTATTTGACTTTTTTTTTTTACTGACCAGCATGCATTTTCCCTCAACAGCCACACAAAACACCTCATATTCAGTAAAAAGAACCAAAAATGTAACCTATCTCAATTTTATGTGCAATATAAATATGTCAGAAGTTTTCCCATTAACTACAAAGTGTGTGAACTGAAATATTTGTTTATGGGGAAATTAAATTAAGGACAGAATACAGTTTTAGTGTTATGTTCAACACATTTTACAGTTTTATGTGGAAATTGTTTCATTTGAATACTAATAATAACGTAAGACACTATTTTTATTTATTTACATTATTTATAATCCACCTTGCTCATTGACTCTCATGGCAGATTACACAGTGGAGGTCTAATGCAGTCAACAGGATGGGACATCCAGTACACAAAATGATAAGGTTTGGATTGCAGAAATCTGAAAATGGGGCTGAAATAAAGCATAAGCATTAACATGACATATTAAACAATGCAGACATTACACAAGATCGTACTTACACCAACAGACAGTTGTACTGTACAGTAGTGTAGCCCACAGTCCCTATTCCTTTACCCAAACATCTTTCTGAAACATTTTGTTGTAATACAGCCCCAAATACCTGAATAATCCCTACTTTAGGAATGCCCAAGATGTTGTGTACATTCAGTGGGGTTTCAGCCTTTTCCCCCTGGCAGCTGCCCTTACCATAATAGGCTTAAATTTGAAACACACACACACACACACACCAAATTTTAGAAATCTTTTACTCTGTGGCATGGACAGCTGACTGAGAAACATAAGCCTAAATCTTAATTGAGCATTTTAAAATTGGTAATTTTAAAGAGAGCTTGTAACTCCTTTTTAAAAGTTTTAATCCACTTGGTTTGTATTTGTGTCTGCATTTTTCAGTCTCTCTCAGGTCTGTTTTTGTTTACTCTGTTTTGGTCTTTAGAATTGTCACAAACAAACTTGGATTCTAGATCTCAATTAAATCTTGGTTTACAGACCTGCTTTGTAAGAAAAAGTAATCTGCAGTTTGTTAAACTGCAAGATTCAGGCATGGTTTATAGAAGACTTTGTGCTTTGTAATTTCAGCATTAGACTTGAATGGAGAAGTGAGGGGACTGTTTGTCTCCAAGGATGTTGGCTTGTTCTGATAAGAAAGTAAAAGTTTGTTTGAGATATCTTACTGCAGCCTAAATGAATGTAAACTACATATCTGCTAACAGTTTGTGAATTTGTTGTCATGTTTCCCCATCTTCTGATTTTTTTTCCTTCCAGAACTTTGCTTTATATACAGTGCTACAAAACACTGCAAATAAGGGTGACGAGGACCTTGTCTCTTAACCTGGCTCTGTCATGGTAAGCATGTAAATTCTTTCAGGACTGACCAACACAAAACAGGTTGAAGCATGGGAAAGTGGGAAGTGGCAGCCCTTGGATACATATGGCAGGTTTTGTTCAGCTGTATTAAACACAGAGGCTATGTTGCCGTTAGAAGATATGGCTGCTGTTTGATGTTGGCAAAGATTAGTAAAACTCCTTTCAGCTGTACTTGAGTACATAATAGAAATACATAGATGCCAGTTGCAGTGGTCCCCTGTATCAGAGATTCTAGTTAAATCTGCAACTATTCTGCAGTACAGTGTAAATGTATTCTTTCCATCACTGAAGTGGGACATTCTGTTGGAAGTAGTCATCCTTGAGTCTTGGAGACCAGGCTGGTATTTTTTTTGACTGCTTGAGGTATGTGGTAAACAGAAATCTCCTGATTTTATAGGTTCTACTCACTTTTTGATGCTCTGAAGTGGGTTTTGTGGGAGAGCCTATTCTTCCTCATTCTTATCAGTTTTGTTTTTCTCCCTGTTTTCCCCTCTATCATGAATGCTTTAGATAAACAGGCAGGTAGACCCTTCCTAGGAAACACTTCAGCAGTTAGGCCATGTCGCGATCCGCCTGGCCGCCGGTCGCCAACCTCCCGCTGGGTGGGCTCTCTTGGGGTCAGTATATTCCCTCCAGGGCACACGGTGAGGGTAGGAGCCGAGGACGGGTTGTTCTGGGAGCCTGAGAGTAGACCTCAGACCACGGGGTATGCAGAGTGGCCAGCCTGCCGCTCTTGCCCGTTCTGGGGTTCTGGCTTTAGTACCGGTCACTCGGTAACACAGGACATCCGCCTCTCTCTCCCTCTCTCAGCTGGTCCCTAGCCAGCCCCAGTCGCGTCCTCCTCGGTCGTCTCCGGACTCCGTTTTTATTACCCCCTCGGCTCCCAGCATCCCTTTGGCTCCTTGGCCCCACCCCCCTTTATATAGAAAGACGCCGGGCTGCTCCCGCCGGCCCCGCTCTTGCTCCCTCGTGTGCGGCGAGACTCTCTCTGGCCGTCTGCACGC